ACTTGTTCTCTATGGCTTACGCCTTTATACTTCCTGTTTAAGAGTTTGGGAGTTTGTGGGTTGAAAGTTTACAGGGGCTTAAGACACACGTTCGCTTTTCTCAACGAAGACCTGCAACGGTCCACCCCAAGAAGAGGTTTGGCATGGTTTGGCCATAGGACGTGGCTGCAACAAGACACTGGGAGGTTCTTGCGCACCCAGTGGTTTTGGATTGGCGTCTGGTACTGATCATGACCGCTACAGACACCCTCTGGCGATGGCTGCAGGCGTCATGGATGATAACGGCCGCTGAGCACAAAAGTCGCGCTTTCCTAGCCTTGCAACGCAAAATGTGACATCTCTGTGGCGCTCTTTTTTGCAAAGAGATGCCAGGAGCCTTAGGCTGCTGACTCCAAGTCGAACTGGAAGTCTCCACGAGCCTTGCTACCAGCAGCTTTAGGCCTGTCCCAAGGCTTGTGGGAGTCGGGTCCCTGAGATGCAGCATAAAATGAAGTCCAGTCTTGGCTGCTATTCCTCCATCATGTTGGGAAGGATACATGCATGTCGTGAATGATCTCTACACAAACTAGCACAAACTTCTCAGATGTCTTCGGGACCTTCTATAATCGCGCAACGGCACGATCAAGGCCGACCCCTTTGGGCGGCCAAAACTATCCTACGGTGTCGCAGGGCAACAGCCAGGCGCACACCTTAGCGAGACAACGCATATGCACCGTCCACTGGCGTCCATGCATGCTCCGTGAAGTGCGAGTTGAGGCAGGCGGCACAGGTGATGTCGTCCGTTTTGCCGCCCCTGTGAGCAATGCGTGCCTCAGCTGAAGCCCCTGTGGGTCAGTCCCTGACTTTAGCCACAGCCATTTGCAAGGCCGGTGCCTTCTGACATTCCGCACTGAATGGCGTCCTGGCTGGCCCCAAGCAAGCTCAAGCTGAGAATGCTACCGTGCCTGCGACAACCCGGCCTGGCATGAGGGCTGCGGGATCGAATTTCGCTGGCCTGCATAGAGAGAGGGCCGTCTCAGCTGGCATCAATATCACTTGTTTGCTGTAATGATGGGATGAATTTGACTCGTATTGCTTCCAAGTCTGGGAGGTATCGTTTTTAGGGTATCGTTCTTGGGGTGCCTGGTCGTTTTGCAGTAGTGCTAACATCTTTGCACTCACGGAACACCTTTACTACTTCAGAATAACGGTAGTTTTCACAGCGGCTCATCTAGGCATACGACGCTGACTGCTGTAAGTGTGATGCAGTGCGACTTTGTCGGGCCTTTGCAATGGCCCGGGCGATGTTCTCCTGATCAGCACTGCCCCTCCCAAACTCTTTGCACTGTCGCACCTCGCCGCCGACCCCCAGTGAGCACCAGGCGGGTTTGGTGGCGTGGCCTTAGCTGGCAGAGGTCCCGCAGGCTCGGGCTGAAAAGCTCAGAGGCTGCTGGCAAACATTCGGGAACTGAAAATATTGCTTCTGGCACTCGGCGAGGCCTATCCATCCAATATTTTGTAAGTTACCTCGCTATGCCGCAAAGGAATGCAACACAGATCTGTTTTCGCAGCAGCTACGGCTTTGTATGTAGGCGCATGTACTCACAAACAGACTCACTTGCCCATGTTGTCACAGCCATGACTCCGCTTCGGCTAAAGCAGGTATCGCTGTACTTGGTATTACCAAGACCTCTTGCCAAGAAAACAAGTGAGCATTGTTTTTGTCCTTATTTCTTATACTAACATGGAGAGCCTACGCGAACTACGCGGAATGGTTGTTTTCCCTGCGAAAGAGACGACCCGGGGATACTCTTGCTGACTCCTGCTATTCAGGTGACTACGCGGACTACGCGGCACACCTGGCCTACACACTGTTATACGCGATACGTCTTATGAAACATACAAACTACGCAAACTACGCGGACAAGATAACCTACACNNCGCGAGACTACGCAAGACTACGCCCTGCAGGCGCGAGGCTACGCGAGCACTCTTGCAGTTTCACGGTCATCATAGCTCTCTCATGCAGAAAAAATCGCTGCTCAAGTATTCAACACGTTCTGCGCTGCCCTGTCCCGCATCCCTTGGGCTAGGCTCCGGCCTGGCTTTCAAGCAATCATCCCCAAACTTTGCTGATCCGTGTTGACTAGCTATTGCATGGAAATGAGCGGCGCGATGCAAAGCTTTGCAGGTGGCTAGAATTCCAACAAAGCGTATTCATAACGTTGCAGTGTAGCAGAGTGTTTCCAGATCCCTCGGTTTCCATGATGATCTTTTTGATGCCCCTTCCTCCCTGCACAAACTCAGGAAAACGAGGAGTCTAAACGTCAGCCCTGCGCAAGCTGAGGGCTTAGCCGAGCTCCGCCTCCAGCGGCCCCGCTGCGTGGGCAGCAAGTTCGCAGATCTGCTGCTGCTCACGAACGCAACAGGTGAACCAGGTGCAAGGTATGTAGCAAGCATGCCTCCTTGTCCCACAAGTTGTCGAACACGCCGTCGGAGCCTCAGGTGAGCTGAGACGCCGCTGTGCTGCAGCACGAGGAGCGCTTTAGAGGCAACTCTTAATCACCTTTTTTTCTTTTGTAGGAGTGCAGCCTTCTGAAATGCGTATGCCAAACTTGGGTATATCAGAATCCCTTTCGAAAAGCAGATTCTCAAAAGACCAGAGGGTGGCTGCCTTCGGTCACAAGGCTGAGAAGCTACACATCAGTTGGACAATGTCCTACTACAAGTAGTAAGGCGCAGGCACACGATCACCAGATCGCCATGCTGGACGGGGACGTCATTGAGCTGCGCGTCCTTCGCATCCGAAAAGTTTGCTGG